CTAGAATATATTAAGACTTCTTAGAACTCAAGTAGACAACTCAGTTTTAAAAACGGGCAAAAGACTTGAGTAAACATTTCACCAAGGATATACAGATGGCTTAAGAAGCACATGAAGAGATGCTCAACATCATTAGTCATCAGAGAAATGCAAATGAAAACCACAGTGAGATACTACTTCATAACCTCTAGAATCACATACAGTACCACATACTCATAAGGGTGCAGAGAAATTAGAGCCCTCATACATTGCTGATGGAATGTAAAATGGTATGGCTATATTAGAAAATAGCTTGAGTTTCTTAAAAAGACATAATTTATCACGTAATCCAATACCTCCACTCATGGGTATTTCACATAAGAGAAATGAAAATATACAGAGACTTCTCACAAATGTTCACAGCAGCATTTTTCATAATAGTTCCAAACTGGGAACAATCCCAATATCTGTGGTAAATGAATAAACAAAAAGTATATTCACAATGGAATATTATTAAGAAAAATGAGCCTGTGATACATGCTACAACATGGATAAACTTCAGAAACATAATGCTAAGTGAAAGAAGCCAGACACAGAGACCACATATGGTATGATTCCATTTATATGAAATATACAGAAATGTCAAACCAATAGATACAAAAAGATTAGTGGTTGCCTGGGACTGAGGGTGGGAATGGGAATTCACTGCAAATGAGATACAGAATCTTATGGGGATGGAAATGTTTTAAAAAATAAAGGATTATGGTGATGGCTGCACAACTCTAAATTTACTAAAGATCACTGAATTATGTGCTTCAAGTGGATGAATTTTACGATACATTAATAATACCTCAATAAAGTTCTTTTTTAAAAAAAAGATTTTATTTATTCATTTGAGACAGAGAGAGAGAGCATGAGCAGGGGGAGAGGGAGAGGGAGAAACAGACTCCCCACCAAGCAAGGAGCCCTATGCGGGACTCGATCCCAGGACCCTGAGATCTTGACCTGAGCCGAAGGCAGACGCTTAACCATCTGAGCCATCCAGGTGCCCCTAAAGTTCTTTTTTAAAAAATATGTTGGGTGGGGACACCTGGGTGCCTCAGTCGTTAAGCGTCTGCCTTCGGCTCAGGTCGTGGTCCCGGGGTCCTGTGATCGAGTCCCGCATCGGGCTCCTTGCTCAGTGGGGAGCCTGCTTCTCCCTCTCCCTCTACTGCTCCCCCTGCTTGTGCTCTCTCTCTGACAAATAAATAAATAAACATCTTTAAAAAAAAATATGTTGGGTGCCTGGGGTGCCTGGATGGCTCAGTCACTTAAACGTCTGCCTTTGGCTCATGTCAGGATCCCAGGGTCCTGGGATTGAGTCCCGCCTCAGGCTCCCTGCTTCTCCCTCTGCCTGCCACTCTCCCTGCTTGTGCTCGCTCTCTCTAACAAATAAATAAACAAAATCTTAAAAAAAAAAAAAGGTATGCACACTTAAAAAAAAAACATTGTCTCCCCTCACCGTCACCCCCGCCCCAGCTGGCGCACATGCGCTCACTCTTAAAAAAAAAAAATACACTGCGCCCCTGGCTGGCTCAATCGGTAGAGCATATGACTCTTGATCTCAGGGTTGTTGAGTTGGAGTCCCATGTTGGGTATAGAGATTACTTAAAATCTTTAAAAATAAATAAATAAAAATTTGTTGAAAGATTCCTTTAACTAAAAAAAAAAAAAAAATAGTGGGGCACCTGGCTGGCTCAGTCAGAAGAGCGTGTGACTCTTGATCTTGAGGTCATGAATTCAAGCCCCACCCTGGGTGTAGCAATGACAAAAAATAAACAAAAAAAAATAGTCACTTTACAGTGGAGAAACTTGACAAACCACCTTCACCTAATGATCACAGTTAACATCACCAGAAATGGGACAAATCAATATTATGTGCCTCCTGATATGATGTATTGAGAACACACTATCATTTCCAGAGTATTCCTACCCAAAAGAATCCTATCAAATTGAAACAAAACAAAACATCAGACAAACTCAAATTGAGGATTATTCCACAAAACAAACGTCAATGTCCTAAAAATCAAAGAAAGACTGAGGAACTCTTTCCAATTAAAGGAAGGGACATGACTGAACATGATTCACAGTCCAAATTTTAAAAATCATTTGTGTTTTGTTTTTTCAGTACAGGACATTGAGACGCTCTGGATAAGGTGTGTATTAAATCACAGCACTGTATCAATGTTACTACCTGATTTTGATGACTGTACTGTGCTTATTTAAGAGAATGTCCTCATTCTTCCATCGTGTCCGTGATTTACTCTCAAACAGTTCAGGGAGAGAAAATGAACACACACACACATAGATGGAAAATACAAATGTGGTCAAATGTTGACATTTGCTGAGAGGATATATGGGAATTCTTTGTCCTATTCTTGCAAATTTCCTATAAATCTGAAATTACGTTAAAATAAGTTAAAAGCGGTGCATGTATACATAATTAGAATATATTTCCATTTGAGTAAATATTAGAAACACATGGGGCGCCTGGGTGGCTCAGTCGTTAAGCGTCTGCCTTGGGCTCAGGTCATGACCCCAGGGTCCTGGGATGGAGCCCCACGTGGGGCTCCCTGCTCCATGGGAGTCCTGCTTCTCCCTCCCAGACTCCCCTCGCTTGTGTTCCCTCTCTCGCTGTGTCTCTGTCAAATAAATAAAATCTTTAAAAAAAAAATTAGAAACACAAAGAAATAGATATGACAAAATGATAAGAATATAAGGTTTCCATGGCAGAGCCAGATCATTTACCCTCTTCGTCACTCAGCTTTTGTTTGCAGGCACATTGTTTAAACAGAGGACTCAGTTGCCAAGAAACAGTCTCTCTCCCCAGCTCATTAGTCTGACAGCAAACAAATCTACCAACACCAATGCACCTGTCTCTGGGCCAGGGCTCAAGCCCAACTGATGCTTTGGGCAATTTCCTACATGGCTTCTCTCATCTCAAGGCCTCCCCATATTTTGCCAAAATCATTTCCACACTAAATTTGTTCTTACTCCCCTTCCCCTATTTGCCTTCCAAAGACATTCCAGGATTTGAATGGGAGGGTCTTAGTCACAAGGAGCAAGGCTATGCACTAAATCTTTTTAGGATCATGGGAACTTTATAAAGTTGTGAGGGATGGGCTGTTTCCCCAAAGTTTCTGAACTGCTTTTGCAAGTGTGGCCTGAGACAGGTAGCATCACCATTATCTGGGAGTTTGTTAGAAATGCAAATGCCTGGGACCCACCCTGGACCTCCTGAGACAGAATCCATTGGGAGTAGGGTCCTGCAATCCGTTTTAACAAGCTCTAGGACTGATTCTGATGCTTACTGAAGTGTGAGGAGTGTGAGGCTACATCCTGTCACTAGACAACTATGCAGGAAAATAGCGCTGATACGGGGTGCATTCAAAGACCCCCTAAAAGCTGACTATTTTAAAGTATTTCTTGCAAAAGGTACCGCTTCTCTTTTTGTATGAGTAAGGGACACACATGAGGACTGAAAGGGCTGTTTGCACAGCTGAATACCTGTGGACAGACTAGGAAGAAGTTAAGAGTTCTGAGTTTAGCCCTGTAGCAGCCCACATGGCCTATCTAGTTCAAAACAGCCTTTGGAAGTCTGCCCCAAGCCCTGACACACCAGGCTGCTTCAAGGATTTCCTAAAGCAAACTTTCTGTAAAGGCCTATATATATACGTATATATATTTAAGGACCTTATTTGAGAGACAGATAGTGACAGAGATAGTTGGTCTTTTTTTTTTTTCTTAAGATTTATTTTGACAGAGAGAGGGACAGCAGAGAGGGAACACGAGCAAGGGGAGTGGCAGGCAGAGGGAGAGGCAAGCTTTCCGCCGAGCAGGGAGCCCAAAGGGGCTCGATCCCAGGACCCCGGGATCATGACCTGAGCCGAAGGCAGACGCCACCCAGGCACCCCAGGGTTGGTCTTTTATAGAAAGCTAACCAGGGAACTTAAGTCCTTTTAACATCTTTATTGATAACGGCTTCAATGGCTTACTTCATTTTAGGGTCTGGTTATTCTTTGTTAGTCACAGGTAATTATCATAAAGACACCCACCCCACACGCCTAGGGCAGGGCTATATTTTTCCGTAAATATAAGCCATATAGTTTCTGTTCAGATCTGCCACTATGGCTCAAAAGCAGCCACAGAAAATACATAAACCAGTGGGTACGGCTGTGTTCCAGTAAAACTTTTATCAGATGGAGGCAGCAGGCTGCATTTGTCCCAAAGGCTCAAAGTTTGCTGACCCTTGTCCTAGGGAGTCAGAGGCCTGGGGTTCTAATCTGACCTGCCCCCGAGAAGACACCCAACCGGCAATCTGAGGTACCTCCCTCGGTTTCTAGGCCAGAAACCTCCATATCAAGTCCTGGCCCCTGCCTGGCTTCCAAGGGGTAGGGCCATGTATAGTGAGGCATGCTTCCTGCATTCTCTCCCCTCAGTGAAGCCTGACCCGGGAATGGGGGCTACAGGCAGAAAACAGCATGGGCTGAAGGCCTTGGCTGAATCCACCAGGCACGGGAACTGGGTTCAGTGCAGGAGCAGAATACTTGTCACATTTACCTTTTTCTTCAGAGGTATTAGCCAGGGCTCACTGTAAAGGCTTTGAAAGTTAAACAGCTTATGTGTTAAGATTTTACAAATAGTTAAAACTTTTCAAGTTTCAACCAAAAAAGCATATATTCCAATATATTCTGATTCAAAAGTGATTTCATCCTTACACAATCAATATTTTAAAACAGACACATACAGTTAGTGCAAGGGACTTAACAAGACATTTTATATTGAATCTAACATGTCGTGTTTCTTGCCTAACAAAAATGGAGGTGTACTCCCGCCAACAAAAGACTCTTACAATTCTAATGTCCTTGTGCTATTTTGTTGCATGTGATGCTATCCTTGCCATAGTTCGATTATTAGCACTTATAATCCACATCTTTGATTTTACCAAAACAGAGAATTAAAACTCAAACACACACAAACAGCGCCTTTGAAGTCTTGTAATATGATGGATTTAACATTCAAAACATTTTATGAAGGAAAAAATAAAAATGAAGTGTTATTTCAATCGATGCATCCATAGTTCTTGGCCTCTCACTGGCAAGCTGCAAGATGTCCTTGAATAAGATCCTGAACACGGGAGAGAATAATCTCATTAGAACTGCTGCAATTTTCTGGACCATATGGTGGGTCTATAGTCAGAACCCCAGCCACACACAGAGTCCTTCGTGAATCTCCCTGTTCTGTGATGGGGATGTGGTTCTTCTCGAGCCATTTCTTTAGGCTGTTCTTTCTCTTCTCCAGATCCTCGGGGTTGTAGGCCTTGCAGTCTCCAGACATGAACAAATTCATCAGCTTCTCTCTCACTCTATGGTCCCCTTCGTTCACAGTTTCAACGGTCTGCACAGCATGGCCCATAATTCCAGTCACAGACATGCTGCCATCTTCCAGGAAGTTCACAAGGACAATACTTGGGAGGAAAAGTTAAGTTCAGAGCAGATTTGCAAAAGAAAAATGTAAAGGCCCATAAAGCTACGGAAGAAGCAATGGAATGAAGAGGCATTACCAGCCCCAACAGGCAATTAGAAATTGGGAATAAGAACTTCCCTGTTTAAAATTAATCCCCTCACCACCAAATGTTTGTACTCATTCAATAAGTATTCACTGAGGGTCCTACACATCTAAACTTTTTTGTCTAGCCTAAAACCAATCATTGTGGGATGTAGTTAAAGCGCTTTCAGTGCTTTATACTTATTATATTTATGTTATATTTAACAGTTATAAATGGCTTAAATGTGTATTAGACATCAAGAAAGGGTACAGACTTAATTTTAGAGTTAAACTGAATAACTTCCCTTCAAAGCAGACCAAAGAAAATAACAAAGCACAAAATCAATGAAAGAGAAAACAAAAGAGTTAATAACAAGATCAAAGCCAAATGTTGGTTTTTTAAAAAACAAAAACAAAAAATGTAAAATTCACAAAACTCAGGCAAAACTGATTAGAACAGAGAAAAAAGGCACATACAAATAATATTAGGAAGAAGGCAGCAAAGATTGGCAATTTAAAGTATTAGGAACAAATTTATGCCAAGAGTTTTGAAAACTAAAATAGAAAGCTTCCCAGAAAATATAAATTTCTACTACTGAGTCAAAAAAAAAGAGACTATAAATAGTCCTATAATCCTTCATAAAAACTGAGTATTTTAAAATATTTTCCCATGGGGGGAAGGCCCAATTTTACTAACAAATTATATACAATTTTCAAGGTTCAAGCTTTTTTTTTTTAAGATTTATTTATTTATTTGTGAGAGAGAGAGAGAGAGAGAGAGAGAGAGAGAGAGAGAGAGAGACAGTATGAGAGGGGAGAAGGCCAGAGTTGGAGAAGCAGGCTCCCCACTGAGCTGGGAGCCCGATGTGGGACTCGATCCCAGGATTCCGGGATCATGACCTGAGCCAAAGGCAGTTGCTTAACCAACTGAGCCACCCAGGCGCCCCAAGCATTTTTTTTAAGATTTTTTTTTTTTAAGATTTTATTTATTCATTTTGAGACACACAGATACAGAGAGAGAGCAAGCATGAGCAGTGGGAGAGGCAGAGGGAGAGGGGGAAGCAGACTCCCCACTGAGTCAGGAGCCCGATGTGGGGCTCGATCCCAGGATCCTGGGATCAGGACCTGAGCTGAAGGCAGACGCTTAACCATCTGAGCCACCCAGGCGCCCCAAGATTTTATTTTTAAGTAATCTCCACACCCAATGTGGGGCTCAAACCCACAATCCCAAGATCAAGAGTTGCACGCTCCACCGACTAAGCCAGCCAGGCACCCCAAGGTTCAAACATTTCTAATCTAACCAAATTCTTCTAGAGACTATAAAAGGGGGACTGTGCCTTAACTTGTTTAATGAGGTTAATATAATCTTGATACCAAGAGCAGAGGAGAAGATGATTAAAATATAAAACTACAAACTAATCTCATTCATGAATACAAATGCAAAAATCCTAACTAAATAAAATAAATGACGTGGTGTGGTGTGATGTGATGTGAATTTCACTTTGTTGGTACTCCTCCCAAAACCTAAAATCCCAGGCTACTTATGAGAAAGCATCACAGAAACTCAAATTGAGAGACATTCTATGAAATACCTCACTCACCAGAACTCTTCAAAAGTGTCAAGGTCATGAAATACAAGGAAGGACTGAAAAATTCTCACTCTAGAGGAGACTAAGGACACAGGACAATTAAATGAATGTCAGATCCTAGATTGGATCCTGGAATAGAAAAAGGCAAACAATTAGTGGAAACACTGTTAAAATCCAAATGATTGCAGTTTATGTAAAGTTTTAGTTTCAAGGAATGTACCATGGTTAGGTAAGATGCCAACATTAGGGGAAGCTGGGTAGATGGGTCCTCTCTGTATTCTTTTCTGTAAATCTAAAATCATTCCAAAATAAAAAGTGTGTGTGTGTATCATCACCTTTAAAGTAGTCTTGCAAGGGGCACCTGGGTGGCTCAGTTGTTAAGTGTCTACCTTCGGCTCAGGTCATGATCCCAGGATTCTGGGATAGAGCCCTGCATGGGGCTCCCTGCTCGGCAGGGAGCCTGCTTCTCTCTCCCCCACTCCCCCCTGCTTGTGGTCCCTCTCTCACTGTCTCTCTCTCTCTGTCAAATGAATAAATAAATCTTAAAGATAAATAAAGTAGTCTTGCAAAAAACAAATCTGATCCTAATCAAACCTCTAGATAGGCATACCAGTTTATAGGAAATACGGATATAAGAACATGTTAAGCTACACCATGCACAATGCAATAAGCTAAATCCAGAACGTGTTCAATTCTGTAAGACAAATGATTCCATTTCTTCAACAAATGACATGGAAAACTAAAAAGAGAAAGTGCAGTCATTAAGATACTTAAGAGACATACCAACCAAACTGATAAACCAATTAAAGAGATATTCTGAGACAACCAGGCAAATCTAAAAGCGGACTGTTAATAATAAAGTTATTATTACTTTTGTTAGGTATTATAATGTTATTGTGGTTATTAAAGAGTCCTTATCTGCTAAAAGATATTGAGGTATTTATGGACAAAATTATAGGATATCTGCAACTGGCTTAAAGATATTTAGAAAGGGAAGGAAAGGCTAGTGTCTGTTATGCTATTCTCTCTACATTTATGAGATTGAGACTGTCTAATAAAAACGTAGTAACAAGGGGCGCCTGGGTGGCTCAGTCAGTTGGACGTCTGCCTTAGGCTCAGGTCATGATCGCGGAGTCCTGGGGTGGAGCACCGCGTCCGGCTCCCAGCTCAGCGGGGAGTCGGATCCTCCCTCTCCCTCTGCTCCTCCCCCTCCCTCGCGCTTGCTCTGTGTCTCCCTCAAATAAATAAGAAAGAAAATGTAGTAACAAAAAAAGTGCCTCACTTTTCCAAACTTGGCTTGTCTGCCAAGGTAATCCATAGTTAGAACAACACTTCGACTCAAAAGCAACACAATTCTTATGTGTGAATAACTAGCCTTTCATTTATCTACTTCCTTAGTTTGGATATAACATACAAGCAGCACAAAGGGGTGTCATTATTATTTCTGGGGAGAAGGAGCCATACTCACTTGGCAGAAACTGGGTCTGTGGTTAAAACCCATCCTTTATACTCCTTCTCACTGGCTGTCACTCTGACTTCTTTGTACGTGTAATCTTGCCATTCTAAGGGGCCTTTCCTCATCCATTCATTCATGGCTGCCAGCTGGCTAGATCTAAAACCACCACCAGTTCGGGTTAATACATGTTCCACTCAAGCAAGTGCCATCCTAGAGATAGAGAACATCTGCGATTTGCCTCAAGCTCCATTATCAGGAAAATAGCTGATGATCAGCTAAGGAGACACCGCGCTGCCATGAGGCCCAGCCCGGGGTAACTCATCCGGCTTACTTCTATTCCACCACCCAGTACCATTCCAAATCGCCTTCACCCTGGCTTTGAACTCGGTCAGCAAATGCTCAAACCTTTTAACTCTGATCTCCTGCGATCAAAGTAACTCACTCCACACCACATTTGGCCAAAACTGAAGAGGAAAACTCCTTTGATACCCACCCACTTGCTCTCTCTAGCTCTTTCTCCGCTGGATCCCGCCAGGGAGAGGCCCCGCATTTGACAATTTCCTCTTATTTGTTTGGAGGATGCACAAGCCAGGGAGCAGCAGCGAAGGCTCTAGAGCGCAGATTCCGTGGCCTAGCTTGCAGCTGCACGATACTTAAAACGGTACTCAAACCTGGTGGTACTAAACGTTTAAGTCCCACAAACGAGAGAAATACCAGCAAGAACTCCTCGCAGCGACGGGTACACAGTAACCACGCGGTGAGGAAAGAGTCACTCCAAGGGCGCCCATCTGAGCCCAGCAGGCTTTGCGCCACGTCGTCACTTCCTTCCCCCAGAATTCTCTGTTTTGTAGTCCTTGGCCTTGGTCACACCTAGAGGTCTGAGAGTCACCGGGCGTGGCGGGGTAAAGGCCGGGTGCGGGCAGGGCCTGAGATTTTTGTGTAGTAATAATAAGGTTCCTTGTTTGCTAGGACCACCCCTCTTCACTGTCACGATGGACATTTCAACCTTTCGTTTTTCGTGCCAAGTTCCTCGTTGAGAGTAGACCTGGAAATGCACCCTTGCGGTGGGATCAAAGCTCAAGAACCCTCTAAGTAAATCCTAAAGTGGGAAGTGTGAGGTGAAAGTGCCTTGGAGAAAAGCGATAGAGCCAAGATATTTATTTGTTTGGCTAGTGTAAGGCAATTAATACGTCTGCTCCTTTGGGATGTGCCCTTGCTACAGTCCTGCAGGAGGTGCAGAAGCCAGAAAGAAAAAGCACAGAATTGGGATGATTTCCACCTAGCAGACCACTCACTAGTGAGGGGTGCCTCACTCACTAGGAAAGCCCGGGCCTCTCCCCCGCAACCCCTCATCACCCGCGCAGTGGAAAAGGGCAAAAGACTCGCTTCTGCCACAGATTTCGGTTCAGGTATGTAGTCGGCTCCTGGCATGGTCCAAATAAACTGTGATCCTGAAAAATGGTACAAGGTGTTAAACGTTGAGTTTCTGCAAATGTGAACACCAAGGGAGATTTACAGAAACCGAATTAGAGGACTATCAAACCACGATGTAGAAAACCTTGAAAATTAGTCAGCTTTTCCCTTACAATTTGGGATCTGAGTTCACATAATCCTTGAAGTACATTGTTTCTTATTGCCATCATTTTAAATAATCCTTTGGCAACCTTCACTCGAGTGATTGGCTGATTATATTAATGTGGCTTTCGTAGATTAAATTAGATTATGCCAGTTAAGTCCTCTATAAATCTACAAAGAACTAATATAAATACCAGTTGGGGGCGCCTGACTGGCTCAGTCAGAAAAGCATGCAACTCTTGATCCCCAGGTGGTGAGTCCGAGCCCCACATTGGGTATAGAGATTACTTCAATAAATAAACATATAAATACATACATACCAATTGTTAAAATGTGAAGCTAAACATATGACCTCATAAAAATTCAGTCCAAAAGAGCTTCAAAACAATTGTGACAACTGGCCATTTGCATTTTAAGCCTTCTATCTGTACTGCAGAATCAAAGACTTTGGAAGCTAGCTCCAAGCTTAACTTAAATGACCCCTTTTAAAGTGATGAGCCTGGGGCAAATTCCTTCCTTTCTCTCCCCTCTCCCTTTAGTCTCCCAGATAATCATTTCCAGCATCTGCTGATGTGAATCACTGATTTATAACAGACTGAGCCCAACCCACTCCATATTGCAGGTTTACAGAAAGACCCTCTCCTGTAGTCCACCCTCAAGTTCAGATGGTGCCATTTCCTCTTCCTTACCCTTGTCCCCCTGGTGCCTCCCTCAGACCAGTTGATGTCCCTTCTCTCATTTTCTACTTTTCTTCCTCTCTTCCCTTTCCCTCTCCATCTCCTTCGTAATGTCTACCTCCCCCTCAAACTTTCACACACACACACACACACACACACACACACACACTTAACCCTTTCCTCTGCCAAGTGAAAAATTGTTTATTCTAGATTTTGGAGTACATTTTAATGTACTCCATTTAATTTTAGCAAGACTTTTTTTTTTTTAAGTAATCTCTACACCCAACTTGGGGTTTAAACTCATGACCCTGAGATTAAGAATTGCATGCTCTGGGGCACCTGGGTGGCTCAGTCGGTTAACCTCCTCCTTCTGCAGGATCCCGGGGTCCTGGGATGGAGTCCCACATCAGCTCCCTGCTCGGCATGGAGCCTGCTTCTCCCTCTCCCTTTGCCTGCTACTCCCCCTCCTTGTGCCCTCCCTCCCTCTCTTCTGTCTCTCTCTCTCTGTCAAATAAATAAATGAAATCTTAAAAGGCACCAGCCAGGTGCCCAGCAAGAAACACTTTTTTAAAAAAGCTTTTCTTAATTTCCCTGAACAACATCAGAAGTTTAAAAAAGTTGTCAATACTTTTACCACTGTTCTTCATCATGGTGCAAAGATAAACCTGCCCTGCCCTGGCCAGACAATCACAATTTTCAATTCACAGTGTTGGATCATAATAGTAGGTAGATAAAGAGTGTACTTATCATGAAAAAAAAGGTAGAAAATGAGTGGGGGTGGGATAGTAATTTGCTGAGTATATTTCATGCAAGGTAAGGTCAGAAAAAAATGGTCATTTTGGCCCAAGATTTTTTTTTTTTAATGTTCTGGTGTTTTCATTCATTCAGTGAGCCCGTTAAAAGTGTCTATTCATTATTTCTGCATTTATTCATCAAGCATATATTGTGTACCTACACATGCACTTTCTGTTAACAACTAGGAATTACAAAACTAATTTCAAAAATCTCTTCCCTTTGGGAAGCTGATAATGTCTCCTCTACCTAACTTGGTAATAAATGGGAAGAGTTGGGGAAGGGGTTCTTAAAAACCTTCTTAAGGGCGCCTGGGTGGTTCAGTGGTTAAGCGTCTGCCTTCAGCTCGGGTCATGATCCCAGGGTCCTGGGATTGAGCCCCACATCGGGCCCTCTGCTAGGCAGGAAGCCTGCTTCTCCCTCTCCCGCTCCCGTGCTTGTGTTCCTGCTCTCGCTATCTCTCTCTCTGTCAAATAAATAAATAAAATCTTTAAAAAAAAGAAAAGAAAACCTTCTTAAAGAGGTAGCGCTTGAACTTGATTTATAAGTAATGAACCAACCACAAAAAATTCTGTGTCTATGGGACGCAGAACCTAATCAAAGGAGGTGTAGGTTGGAGTGAAAAGCAGTGGGCAGGGAGTTTTAGCAACCTTGGTTTCACTTGATTAAATCTGTAGTGTCCTGGTAAACTGGTTCTCCTGAAAAAAAAAGGAGGTTTGATTTATACCGTTTGCTGATTCCTATGGTGTAAATATTCCTACCATGGCTGATTTCAAGGTACAAATGATTTAACAACTGGCTCAAAAAATTCCTGAATATTTAACAAAGGGCTCCTTTAAGACAATTTAAACTGGTGCTTTATGACTTTGGATGTCATTTGCCTTCTTAGATTTCAGTTTCCTCATTTATAAGTGAAAATGTGGGATTAGATGACCTAACATCCTGTCAGCAATAAATGTTCATGATGAAGCCATACAGTCACTTAGAAGCACTGTAAACCTTCTAAGGGCAAGGGCTATGTCTGTTTTATTTACTACCATATACCCCACCTCTACCACATTGCCTGGCATATAGTAGGTGCTCAATTTGAACTGAATTTTCATTTCTTAAGCAGTTATATATCACCTAGTATGTGCCAGGCACTACTTTAAGAACTTTCAGATATTACCTCATTTTGAGTGAATATACCAAAGAGAATGGAAAAAATTTCAGTGATGGAATAACATGATTAAATCAGTGTATTAGCAAGGATGCAGAGAAATGAGAGGTGGAGAAAACAGTATATATACACAGCATAAAACTTTATGTAAAATATAGCCTCTCTATCCAAACAAAGCAGTGGTATCAGGACAAAAAAATTCCAGAACCACTTTCCAAACGGAAAGCGGATTTAGGGAGGCAGTGTCTCTAAATTGATTATCTGCTCTGCCCAGTGCTGCCCAGGCCTGCCCAGAGGGGAGATTTTTACCACCTCAGAGAAAATTGGTTTCCCTAGCAGTAAGGTGAAGATAGGATTGTTTTCCCTGGATGAAAATGCTTTGAACAGACTTTGCGAACTCTAAAGCACTAAACCCATGTAAGGCATGAGGGTTTAGCAAACTGCTTCTGTAATTGTTGCTGTTCAAATATGCTCAGCTAATATCTTTATACTGGCTAAAAATCAGTGCCATTTTTTTCCTTGAGTTCCTCTTAGTCAATGATATAATCAGTCTAAGCAGTACAAAAATACATGTTTTACATAGATTTTATTTTGTTTTGAAAAAAAATAAAGTGGAGTTCACTATTTTTATTTTTCCCTGGAATTGCCTTGAAACAACAAAAGATGTTGACTGCTGAGCTCCTGAAAATTGGTGCAGTGGCCCAGACAGGACATAATAAAGTCCTAGCCGAAGCTGATGGCAGTGGAAATGAAAAAGAGGAGAAAAAAGGAGTAGAATTGACAAATATTTTGAAGGAAAAATCAACAGGATTTAGTGATTGATCGGATTGGGGCAAGGGCATGTTGAGAACTTTGATCTGTTCTTTTGTTCATTCATAACCCCCTTTTCCTCTTTGTTTTTTCAGGATCTCAGGCCTCCAAATAGTTATTATATTTACTAATTAGATAAGAATTTTTTTCCTGGAATAAAATATGCTTCATTAACACTTTATTTGTGTTTATGGCACAGGAAGGCCACAGTGAGGTCTCTCTGCCAAGCTCTTATAAACTAACCCTAAATGTTAAGTAAAAATGGATGTGATTCAATCTGTGATTTGTTTGTACAAAGAGACCATCTATAATCTGGATCACCAGAAAATGTGGGAATGACCAAAATTCCAAACTAAGTGACCTGGTTGTATTCTTTGGACACAGGACTGGAATGGGATTTTATAGCAGCAAATGGAAACTTGATTGTTATGACACCCTACTGGGACATGCAGTACCCCAGGGATGGCAGCAGAAGACATGGGAGAAGAAAGGTCAGTTAGCAAAAGATTGGGAGGTATTTCTCAGAGACCCTGGATCTGTAAGGCAGAAACTTTCCAGAGATATATACATATTGTGGGGAACGGATGCTTCATCACATCTCACCCTGGCCTGGAATAGACGTTCCTAAAACCATATGCCTCCTTATATTCTGATTCCATGCTCACCATGCTGCCTTGTGACTCCTCCACACTGGGAGGAGAGTGTTTATCAGGAGAGGTGATTCCTGACAAGGAAACATGAGCACTTTCTAGTCAATAGAAAGGAATAGACCAGAAATCA